TTTTTCTTTGGGCTGAAAAGCATAGTTTAATCTTATACAGTGATGTTAATGATATCTCAGGTAATACCCTGTGCACGAATGTGATGTGTTAGAGCTGAACTGTTAGTCTTCCTCGTGTCAGGCTTACCCATGAGTTCAAAGAAGCGGTTGTATCCGAACCAGTTCTTACAGCTTGACAACGCTATGTCAGTGGTCTCAATCAAGTACCAGTTCTGTACTTGTCTTTCTAAATGGCCTGTATATGGGAATGCTATTGCTGTGAATGAAAGCTAGCTATTGGATGACTAACAAGATTGAGCTCTATATTTCCATATACATTTAATGGCATTAAATTTAGCTTTTAGTCCTCCCATTTATCAGTTTATAAATAGAAATCACTAGAAACAAGGCAAACAGAAATGGATGCTCCATTCTAGCTGCAGATTTGAAGCTTTATTTAGAAAATACACAGAGGGATTAATTTTGTAGCCCAGAATTAAAAATTAAATTTGTTCTGAGAGAAGCAATTAATGAATGCACTGCAGTGAAATCTGGAGCATCTCTGATTTGCTGTTAGCTAATTGCTGGATGTTTTATTCACTCCAGCAGTTTTACTTTCAGTCAAGATGATCTTTGGCATCTGTTTTGAATTGTTAATAAGGAAATAATGCATTTTTAATAACTGTAGCTATTGCAGTAATCCCTTGCTTGTTCATTTTACGCTGTTCAAAACAGACAGAAATAATACAAGCTATCTTGTATTCTCCCACTATAAGAGAAGTCTCTTGGCCTAAGCCTATGCATATAATGTGTGTCATCTAGGTATTTGTCTGTGTGTGTTCCAGTTAGCCCATATGCCTCTTATGTTTGCTGGTTTTGATTTTTCTGCTTGGAAATTAAGAACATGTAACAGTCTGCAGTTCATCTGCAATGTCTGTAGTTTGACTTCTTTAGCTCCCTTTGCTTCCTTGCCTCTCAGAGTAGGGTTTGTAAAACAATGTATTCTGGAGTTGAAGCTGTCGATTCCAAAAGGCCCTCTGCGTTTTCCTGACTGTTTGAATGCAGGTTTTATGTCTAGTAGGAAGGGCAAAGTAAAGGAGGTTGTATGTGCCAGAAAGACTTCCAAAAGGGCCTGGATCCAGGTAGTCTTGAGTGTACTTCAGGTGCTAAGCTGTTTGCTAGACATGGCCTAAATTCTCTCAGTGCCTTTACAGCTAGATTATGTGCAAAACAAAGCGCGGACATAAAATGGCATTCAGAAACAAATTAAACTTATCATATTTTATTTCTTGTTCTAAGAACAGCGTTTTGTCAAACACTTAATTCGTCTTCTGTGTAAACAAACTTTAGAACTGCAGTCTACGTAGCTGGTAGATATCTTATTCTAATAACATGCACTTACTTTTGTGCACCTGAGAGCTGTTAACTTGGAGTCTGTCTCTTTGGCTTTCAAGTTCCTCAGCTGTTTACACCCCTTCTGAACCTGTAGGGTGCTCTCACAGGCTGAGGAGAGTTCACCAGTCAACCCTTGAGGACAGGAAGGCTTCCTAGTCTACCAGAGCAAGTTTTTTTTTTTTTTTAATGAGCGCCCTGTAGCCCTAATGCTGCTGCAGCTACCCGCTGTTCAGGCTTCTGTGTGCGATGAGTGCTACGGCAGAAGTGATTGCCTCTCAACAGGAAGATATAAAAAGGAAGGGTGCCCATGCTTGCGAGTATGAAATTTGCACTCTGTGTAGATATCTAGATAGGCAGATATATGCAACTACAACTGCAGATGGATTTGCTTATCACTAATATCTGAGGATCTTTTGATCTGATGTGTTTATTCATAACTATGTGATTTCCTTGTTCTCTTTTGCATGAAATGTCAGTTCTCCATCATTCCTTTCTACATCCACTTTATCTTTCATCTTTCCACTCTTCAGCTGGATGCCAAAGACTATTTTCAAAATCTTGAAGCTAGAGATTTCCCCCCAGCCCTGTAATACCTATGAAAAAAAAAATGCAAAGGATGTTTTAAATCCAAATAAATCCCGTAGTCTCCTTGCGGTCTCCACCTGCTTAATGTTTAATCAGCATCTCTGAGGTAAAAATCATTATTCTGAGAATATTGTACTTATGTGAAATTTTAACATGGAATCGTGGTTTCACCGAGTAACATTGGCTTGCATGCAGCCAGCCACTGTATCTACGCTAGCAGAAGGATTAACTGAGCTGTTCCTTTTTGCCTTGAGCCAGTGCTGGTAGGCTTGGTAGCTGTTACCATAACTGATTAACATAAAAGTTCAACATGTAGTGATAAGAAAGATGTCTAACTGCCAGATGCTTTTATATTGTATAGTGTGATTTGATTTGTTTATAAGTTTTTTTTTCAAGAGCCCTGTGGGAACTCTGGCACAGTAGGCACAGTCAGGTAAAACTGGGAAATTGTTGTTTAGATTCCTGA